GAGAGAGAGAGAGAGAGAGACAGGGCTTTCGTATGAATACACACATCGCGAATACCCCCCGAAGAATAACACGAGAGCTTAATATTCATAATAATAACTGTAATTGAATTTCATTTTTCATTTATGAATAATAGACAACAATTTTTCATTTCATTTAAATATAAGGCTATCTCTCGATCGCATTAATTAATCAAATGTGCGGAGAAAAAGGCTGCGAAGAGCCCACCGGAGAGACAAATAAATTAATTATATTTAATTGAAAACTTCAATAATTATAACTCATGGCTCAGTTATCTCGCTCTCTCTCTCTCTCTCTCTCTCTCTCTCTCATGTTATCGTCCGTCACATTGAATGCTAAGTGAAAATACAGAGAAACCTATTAATAATGCTTTTTTTCATCATTCACTCCACTTATTAACGTCCTATTGCTCTATCATTAAACGGGTTTGACTTATATATTAAGATCAGTGAAGAGAGAAATATAATTCAATTACAGTTATTATTATGAATATTAAGCTCTCGTGTTATTCTTCGGGGGGTATTCGCGATGTGTGTATTCATACGAAAGCCCTGTCTCTCTCTCTCTCTCTCTCTCCATGTACTGTACAATGAATAAAGTTTTATATCATTTATTATTATTATATAATTTCATTTACTTACAAATCCACTCTCATTTAGTTTGATGATTACAAATCTTTTACATACATGTGATTCAGATGACAGAATATATCAGTGAATATATGACACATTTTTGAGTGTAGAATTTAATTAATGACTATACGATCAATATTTATATAATATGTTTGAATCAAAACTAAAATATAATATTTGAAAGCAGTTGGTTTTCAATTTAGCAGTCTTTTTGCAAATTAGTTTTATTTCAAATAATATTAACAATCATTCATTTATCGATACATTAGTCCATTATATTAAGTTAGCCTATTACATAAAACGCACAAATCATTTAAACCCATTATCTCACTGTCCCTCACATTTCCTGTGTGATTGGACCCAGGTGGTTTGTTGAGGACATTTTTGCAAATGGAGGTACCATCCCGTGCCGGGAATCCATTCGCACTGGAAGAACTCATGGGGATCATCGGGGTTAGGCACATACCCGTCCCGAGAGCATTGAATATCAATTGGGGACTGAGTGGTCGGTTGAGGAGTCAACTCACCTTGTTTGTTTAATAATTATTAAATAAATTATATTTCAATTCAATATATATAACTATTTTAATCAATACATAGTTTGTGTGATTGGACCCAGGTGGTTTGTTGAGGACATTTTTGCAAATGGAGGTACCATCCCTGGCCGGGAATATACTCGCACTGGAAGTACTTATGGGAGTCAGTGGGGTCTGACATATAGCCATCCCGAGAGCACCAGTAGTCAATTGGGGACTGAGTGGTCGGTTGAGGAGTCAACTCACCTTGTTTGTTTAATAATTATTAAATAAATTATATTTCAATTCAATATATATAACTATTTTAATCAATACATAGTTTGCGTGATTGGACCCAGGTGGTTTGTTGAGGACAGTGCATCAAATGGAGAGACCATCCCTGGGCTGTCTTCTCGCACAAGTAGAACTCGTGTGGGTCAGTTGGGTGGGCCACATACCCGTCCTTAGCGCACTGGGAATCGATTGAAAGTTCGCCTGTTTGTTAGTTAACCATATATTTACCGCAAATAAATTAACTTGTTAAATATGTATAAATAACTATTTTAATCAATACATTTTTTGTGTGATTGGACCCAGGTGGTTTGTTGAGGACATTGTCGCATATGGATGTACCATCCCGTGCCGGGAATCCATTCGCACTGAAAGTACTTATGGGGGTCAGTGGGAAAGGGCTGATAGCCATCCCGAGAGCACCAGTAGTCTATACCCCTAGTCGTGGCACCGTTGGACTCATCGCCTGTAATTGAAGTGAAATGAAAAGCATTTGATTGAATTATTAGCAATAAAATCGCTATACATATGAATGCATACCCTGACACACGGCTACCAACAGGCCTACAATTATGAATAGTTTTGACATTTTTGGTATTAATGTTGACATCAATCAACGTTAACAATAAACTGTGGTTTCAATGAATGAATGTATTGTTTATATACTATTTTGGGGGATAATAATAATATTATGGTCCCCTCATTGGATCGAAAGGGGGAATGGCATTCTGGGAATACACTTGAGATTAGCTGAAATTGATTGCTCTTTAGATTACATAATACGGTATAAAATGAGAGAGCACATTTTATACTGTATATAAATACTGATTATATAAACTGAATACTGTAAGAGATAATTTAGGTACGCGCGTTAGGTAAGGGTAGGGGCCAGGCAAGGCGTGAATACAACATGTTAGTCTTATGTATAAGAGTGTTATCATATAATAATAATAATAATAATAATAATAAAGGTGATAATAATAATTTCATTGGAACTCACAATAACATTGAAATAATTCTTTCTAAAAGGCTTTATAATATGTACCAGGATAATAAATTAAAATAATTAACGATTTTAAGAATATTTCCTAGAACTGGCTTATAATCCAAAAGAAATTAATATAGTGGATAAGATAACATATATAATTTGATATAATTGCTATAATTGTATAACAAAAACACTTCAATAATTAAAACTCATCTAGTTTGATGATTAAAAATTGATTACATGTATGATATGTGATTCAAATGACAGAATATATTAGCGAATATAATATCACACATTTTTTGTGTAGAATTCAATCTGAAACTTCATAAGCCATTTTTAAAAACTAAATATGTCCACTATATCTAGAAATATTTTTTTTAAAAACCTTTTGCAAAATTCATATCAAAGGCTACTGTACTGTAATGTATCTTTTGAAAATATAATTTTAAGAATTTTATTTTATTTGTTTAATCAAATGAGTTTTCATTCATATACTAACATACAAATGGTGTACAACTTATGAATTATGCGTTCAAATAAATATCTTATTTAAGGAGAAATGTTTACTTATTGTGAAAGAATTTGGTGTTTCTGTTGAAATATATATCAAATAGGAATTGAATACAAGTATATAAATACAGAATATAAAAGTTTGTGTTATATGATATAAATGTCTTATATATTAGAGTTGAAGTACAGGTGAAAAGGAGTGCATTTTTATGAATAAATGATGGCTAAGAAAACACTATTACTTTTCATAGACTAGAAAAGTGTGTGAAAATGGATCTCTCGGTATAGATATACAGTATATAGAATCGAGTATAAGTACTNAGAGAGAGAGAGAGAGAGAGAGAGAGAGAGAGAGAGAGAGAGAGAGAGAGAGAGAGAGATGAAGGCTTGAAAAGATGACGATCCATACGAGCCCTACTACGCCCTGCTTTAGATAATGGTTTGTTTGATAAAAACGAGATTTTTGTTATCCATTTTCAATATATTACATAAGGAGTAACTTATAGTAAATATCACATACTATACCATAAACTGATATATGATTTTGGGATGAAATATATTGAGTAGAATATTGTTGAATGAAATGCTCTCAACTTTCTTTCATATTAAACATAATATCCTTTATTTACTATCAATAAAGTATCACAAAATATCGGTGAAAATGGTTAGAATGAACGCAAAAAATTATCGCAAAAATGTGAAGATTTGTATCATTTATATAATATGTTGTGGACATCGAGTGTGGCTTATGTTTGACTTAATGTGCAATTTTTGTCAAATACTCTGAACTCCACAATCAGAACATTAAAACATTGAATATAAGATGAAAAGCAATGAAAGCATTGATTACAACAAATGATAGGCTTTTCTCTCTTCCCTCTCAACAAAAGTCATCAATTTTTCAAACATTGTATTCAATGGAGTCTTAAATTATATTTTTATGAGACATTCGGACAATCAGTCTATTTCTGTGTATTAAAAGAGTGTTATTAAAGTCTTATATTTAGTCTATATATGTATGAAATAATTTATTACTTAATACTATGATAACAAACATATGTCTCTAAATAATAAATTTTTAATTCTGTAGTATATTTTGCTAAAAATATTATTTTGTAATGTTATGTACAATATTATATTATACAATATTAAACTCAAATGAATCTTTACATTTTTCAAAACCCACTCATTTTAAGCCATTTTAATTATAAAATTCAATTTATATTTATATGTCTATTACAATGAATTTTGTAAAGGATTTAAAATTTTTATTTTGATTACTACTGTAGTCTGTATGATATTAGTGTTGCAAGAATAATATCAAAATTACTTTATATAAATCAATAAAATATATGATTAAAACTGTACTTTAAAAATATTTCAAAAAAGTATAGGTTTGAATTATAATAACTATTTTCCTGGAATTATAATATTTTTAAAAAAATATATAGTTTCATAAATAATTACATATAATAGAAACTATTTTTTACATGCATTTAGCAAATTTAAATATCTTATATAAAATTACTAATTCTTAAGATATAAAATTAAATTATACAGCATTTTAAGCACGTTTTAATAGCAATTTATTTAAATATATTTTAATACAAAACACTTAGAATTTCATAAATTAAAGCAAAAGATTTTCTCTCAAAATGAATTACAACTTAAAAATAATCCTTTCATAGGACTCTTAAAAATAACATAAAAACAAATAAAACAAAAGCTTTTAATAAAATTTTATTTTCATTGCAATATCACTGGACAACAAGAATAAAAACTAATAATAAAAACAAAAATAATAATAAATTCTTTAAAAACTTTTCCATTTTTATTGCATTTTTCGTTCAATTTTCTAAAATAAATTCTTATTTGAAAAAAACGATAATAAATGGCAAAGTCTTAAGTACTTATCAGAAAAAATATGTCAAATTAGTAACGGTTTGGAAATTGATATCGTAGTTATGAATAATGAATTGAAATATAAAAATATGACAAAAATAATTGCGTTTTTTGTGAGATATCAAATATTTTTGTAAAATCAATGTCTGGGAGATTATCATTTTTTTAAAAATGATACAGGCCAATAAATTATATTATAATAATTAATGGCATATGCTAAAATACGATAATGTATCAATACATATTTGTAACTAATATTTAAATTTTCCCAAATTTTTACAAACATATATCCTATCTCTATAACATAACTTATACTTTAAATCTTACAGTGTTTAAATGAAACTTGTTTAAATTACTAGATGCAATATAAAAATGTCACTATTTTTACATTTAGATGTAAAATTGAATGACATTTTAAACGTATTGCCTGGCAGTGAATTCACAATAAGTAATGTACAGAGTAGAGTAAATATAATATCAATTTATTGTGATAACTTTTAAGCTTAAAAATATATTTTGACAATAGTTTTAGATTTCTGTTTAACTTTAAGTGAAAAGTGAATAAAAC